ATATATAGAGACTATTTCCGATTAATTTTAATAATTCTTAAGTGGTCCTTCATTTATTGGGGGGCACTGTATATATACAGATTTATTTGTTTATATTACAAACTATTATATTGTAATATAAATAAGAATAGTCTTAACTATATACAATATACAAGTGAAACTTGATAAGCTGAAATTATACTAAGCTAAAATTGTATTAAGTTGAAGTTTTTTTGATTTTCCAAAATTTTATTATAGCATAAGCCAAAATTAATTAATAAATTCATGTTAAATGATAAGCCAAAGATTTTTGACTAACTGACTATAATAATTTGATCTGATTATGAACAACTAATTAATATTTTAGATTCATTCCCAAAATATTATTCGCAAAAGAAATATGACATGTTAGTTAGAGTTGATAAAGATATACTGAAATTGAAATCACGATACTTTCGAAACATTCTATCTTACAGTCATATCTTGAAAAGTAATTGTAAAGTTTTAGAAGAATTTCAAGTTTTACTAAATACATTAGCCCCAAATAGTTTTATTTCGCTATGATGTTCCAAACTTTTTCTTGGAAATTGTTTAATATTTGGTTGAAAAATTAATAAAAAGAATAATTATTAATAAAAATCCTGGTTTTGAATATTGCTCAGATAAATCTCAAATGCTTGATCTTTCTAATTTATTTATTGTTCTAATCCACTCACTAAAGATAAATCTCTAAATTATTTAGCATATAAAATTTTGCAAATCAATTATGTTCCTTTTGAAGGGACATAATTATTTATTCATTATTTTAATAGGGATATAATTCAAAAAACATTTGGATCAAATGATCTAAATTGCAAAAAACCTTTATAGATAGTTTTTTTTTGATCTTATATTTAAAAAAAAACTTTTTTAATAGTAAAAAACATTTTGAATTATATCCTTACCTTTAATTTAAGGATTCATTTTTACCACTTATCCAACTTAATTCTTTTTTCCATTACAACAAACTCTTTTACAAAAGTGTAAATAAATTGGAATTGAATAGGGCACTCTATATCAACCTTCTGAAAATTACGAATTATTTTAGTATCAATAAAATAATCAAAAAATTACAGAAACACATATTGGAAAACAAATCCAAATGGTTGCATGACAATTTGATTCAAATTATCAACAGAATTTTTACCAAGCAATGGTGATAAGAAAATTCATTATTATCTAATTTACAAGATCAATTCTGATTCATGGCATCTATTGAATTCCAAAGATTTGATCAATCTGAATGAATGGTACTTTTCCTTATTGCTGGATAACTAATGCCAGTACATTAATCAGAATATGTCCTGAAACATATTGATAAGATAAAGGTCCAACAGAGTCTGGTTTTAGGATACAACATAGCCCATTGAACCTATCAGAAATAAATACTATTAAGAGATACTGTGGAAAAAATCATTTTGCACATTTAATTCTCTTGAATTTCTTAGAATAGTTATTATAATAAGATCATCTTATTTAGCAAAATTATTTCTCAAAATATATAAGATCCTGTTCTTCAATATTATCTTAATAAGAACCTCCTATATAAACAAAGTGAAATATTGCAATATATCATTTTAGATGATTTGTATATAATAAATCATTTTAGATGATTTGTATATAATAAATCATTTTAGATGATTTGTATATAATAAATCATTTTTATGCTGACATGATCCTGAAATGATTTAATTTTGAAAAAACGATTAAAACTAAACAACAAAATATGTTAAGTAAACAAGTATTCTTATATTTTATCATTAATAAAGTTTATATATAATGTTTTTATAATAATAAATAAAAAGTTTTTATAAATTATACTATATATAAATTCAACTTATTGTAAAATTTAATAAAACAAAAATCTCGATAAGTTAAATAAATTGTCTCTTCCTACAACCTTCGGCTTATCAAGTTTCACTTGTACTAATCAAAATATAGATCTCAAAAAAGCCAACAAAATACATCATAAACGCAGTATACATAATATGCTATTACAAATACAGACTATTATCTATATTATAAACTAATTGAAGATTTTTTATTACTGGGGATACAGTGAATTCAACTATAAATAAGTTTATAAGGTTTTATTTTCTCACAGGATCATCTGCAGGATAACATGTTAACAAATCATTAGGCATCTAACTTTTAAATGCAAGAGTTTCTGTGTTTTCAGCCATAAGGTCTTCTGATCAGTTATTAAGAACCACTCTTCATCATTATTAATATCAATATTTTTGACCGAACCATATTCATTACTATTATTCATAGTAATCATCTCTTTACTTTCATCAATAATTATGTTTATTCCTTCAAAAGAGATTTTAACACTTTTAAAGAAGCATTCTGAATTCAATTCATGGTTTTTGGCATTATACGTAATCATGTTTGCATATATACATTGTTTTAATTTGTATGCAATCTTAATTGCACAATTATACATTGTTCTAATTTGTGTGCAACCTTAATCACATGATTATATGTTATTTCAATACACATCTATACCATTGAAAATACTTTCCCAAGCTAAATAGAACATAGAATAAGTATTTAGCAAATAGTTGAATCTAAATAAAACTTACAGACTCTTTTATACCTGCAATCGGTTTCGTCGTACTGAATGTATAAAGCCTATTGAAGAAAACAGCCGTTCACATGACGCTGAATTTATGCAGATTGAAAAGATTCGAACTGCAAGAATACTTAATTCTTTTGTTGCTCCTGTCATAAACTTCCAATATTCTTGAATGTCATTGAAGTTTGAGAACATATCATCATCAAATGGATAGTCTTTGTTGATGAATTTTGAGAATTCTAATAAGATAACAGATGGTCATGTTTTGAACCATTCTTTATAATAGTACTTTACCCATAACCCGATTTGAGGTACATTTAGTGAGAAAAGATTACTATTAAAGACACTGTTACGGTACTTGGGATAAAGGAAGAAAGACAGAATAAGCAATGGCTGTTCCCATTGTTTCCATCGAGACTCTAGACGTTGGACCATATTTTTGCTAAAACTGTCTTCGCGATCCTTATATAACTGCATGAAATAAGCAAATGCATGAAGAACATCTGATAACCGTGCAACATCACGTTGTAGGTGATTGAGTATCGCCATAAATAGAAACAAATGTGATTCTAGTTCTTCAATCGTTTGCCACCATTCGTTATCCTCCAAGTGTGTTATAATACATATAGGTAATTCTTGATGCCGCAAAGCGAGTGCCTATTTTTTTATCCATTAATATATTTTCCCATCAATATCATTATAGCAAAAAGTGGAAGCATACCTTTAAAGCTCTCTTACTACGTACTAATGATGCAAAGCAGAAATAGTAACTATTCTACCGTGTTTGAGTTGGTCTTATTAAAGCATAATATTTTCCGTATAGTTCTTTCTGCTCATTATGCAACTTTTTAATCCAAGATGAGTTCCTGGGGCTGATTCTGCCTTTGATTTCTTTATTGTTTCCTGAACTTCTGCTTCTGACACCTTATAAGTGCATTTGTCATTCCATTTCTCTGTGATTTCTGGTTTGGGGGAGAATTCTTGTTTCCAGTAATTCCAATTTTCTTCCAGAGGTGGTGTTTGGTTGAGCAGTTGCTGAAAGTATTTCACCACCTCTTTTTTAATTTCAGTTGGTTCTGTAATTACTGTGATGGGATCACCCTGGATCAGTATTTTATCGAATGATATGTTGTTGTTTTCTCACTCAAGAATTGATCTGATCATTTTTTTTTTGTTTATAGACAGGTGAAAAAATCTGTTCTCTGTATATTTTTGAATTTTCTCCTGAATTCTTTTGTTTATTAATGTTGTAAGGTTTTTGTAAGTTGTTCTCCATAGGTTCTTGATCTCTTTCAACCAACTGTGAGCTGTAGGTGCATGGTAATTTGGTTCTTGCCAGGGAGGTTCATGAATTGTTGGTATCCCTTGGTTGATTCTATCGATGGACTTGCGAATGCTTGTAATTATGTTTGTTATTTAGATATTGTGTTTGAAATATTATTTGTCTTTGCTATATAGCTTTCTAATTTTTATTACCTTTTTCTCTTGTGGTGATGTTGCTTTGTGAGCCTTTGTTACCTCTTTTCTTTTAGTTTTAATTTTGGGGATGTGTTTCGATCTTGCTTTGTTGATTGCCTCCCACATGAGGTTCCAGAGTTTATTGGATGATTTGTTTTTCAAGTCTGTTTGATTTTCTTATTGCTGAAGAATAAGTTGTAATTCTTCTTGAAATTTTTTCCATTGTTCTGCTGTTGTGCCAATTGTGAAGTATTTGGTTTCCGTTTGTTTTTTTGATTGGTTTTTAGGGGCTATGTGAGTGTTTGAGAGGGAAATCATCAACGTTGATAAATATTTGCTCCATTTAGTACTCAATGGAATAGAGCAACGGAATCTGTATTCCATTGATTCCATTGGCTCCATTGTGGCACAGCATGTTATAATTGGTATTGACTTTTTTAGAATGATCAACATTAATAGTCAATAAAAGATATATTTTTTATCTAATCTAGTTTTTCATATAATAATCTTCTTTTTTTTATACAATTACAACAACATTACTATGAAACGATATACAGGTGGAAAACCACCTCATAGACTTACTTCCTATGTTGAGGTCTTATTAATACAAGTAAACAAGTCTAATAAAGCTGCTGTATGTAAGGCATGTATCAAGAAATTGGGAAGAGAATTGGTGTTGGATAAATCAGTGTTTACTAATACAAAAATTTGTATAAAAGCACATTTAAAAAAGTGTATACAGTTTGCTGAGTT